CAATTTTGTTGTTATGTTTTTTGGTTACGGAGGAGATACACTAACAAGAAAAATAGTATTTGGGAAGATAACTCTTACAATAAAAAAGTCTTCGGCTTACAAAAATGAGTTTTAAAAGCGCAATAACTGTTCGATATTATATGCAAAATATCTAAGCGACATCTTGCAAAACAACTTTATACTGCAAGAAAATGGTTTGGCGGAAGAAGAAAAAAAAATAATAATCAAACAATTAAAAACCAATTGAACAATTGAAGGTCTTTCCACTCAAATTCACTTAAGATTAGAAAATTTTGATAAAAAAACAGAATGTCTGGGCTTAAATGATAGCTTATCACTCACTGATTTTGAAAATACAATGTTTGAGGCACATTTTTCATCATTTAAGGGAGATAATAAGCCACTTCCGGTTAAATCAAAGTCACTTCTGGTGTCAAATAGTAGCTTACATTACTCTGATTCTTAAAATATATAGTTTCTATATACTTTTTCTTTAAATAAGGGAGATAAATTGCTTCTTCCGGTTTTAAAAAAGGTCACTTCTGGTTGACATTTTCAAGGTCATATGTCTACTAACCTAATGCAAAAGATCCCAAGGCTATATCATGAATAAATATGAATCTACAGCAGAGGTCAAAATCTAGAACATCAATTTTACCTTTGACCTTGAACTAAATTTCAAGGTCATAAAGCAAGGACCTCAAATCAAATGACCCTAAGTCTCCACTATGTAAGGGAAATGAGTTCTATCCCAATACAGCTTATTTTGAGTATTAGAGGGGAGGAAACTCCCATCAAATGTCAACACACCCTTTTAACCAAATATGTATGTTGCAAATATCAGTTTAGTAAAAATATTTTGTTGATATCCTATACGGTTTCTGAAAAGAAGCAATATTAAGCCAAAATCAAAATTTAGAATCTGACCTTGATCTTTGACCTTGACCCCATTTTCTTTTTGGTGGACCAAGGACCTCAATTCAAAAGATCCTAGGTCTCTATCACTTATGGTTTATCAGTTACAATTACAATTCACTTATTTTAAATACAGAAGGGGAAATAACTCTCATATGGAGTCTCCGGACTGCTTTGGTCAAAATTATTCTTTAGATCGTGAGAATATAACTAGCAAATTGGTGAAATAATTTTGTGGTTATCTTTAAAGGTTGCGAAGGTTTTTGGGGAGATACTGTAACAATAAAAAGTGTTCGGTTAACCCTTTCACCAATAGCTGCCCAGACAGAAGCTACTCTGAGACGATGGCTTCCTTGGCTACTATTACTCAAGTGGGAGATCTTCATAATAAATGTCAATAAAAATTTGTCTGTAGTTATTTGTGTCTTTATTTCATTCACTAACACCATGTTCACAGTTTTGTTCATGTTTTGATAATTTTTTCTTCATAAAATATTCAAATTTTCAAATTTTCGGCATTATCTAGGTGAAATTCTCAAAATTCTGCTCTTTGACCCAAAATCATAATTTTTTAACCCAAAATGGCAAAATTTTGAAAAATTTAATGAGGCTGTACAAATTCCTTACACTGAACGATGTCCATTCCAAGTGTTTTGTACATAAAACGACATTTTATGTAAAAAAAGTATACTAGTTTGGCTTCAATTCTTCCATATTCTTTCAAAAAAAATGTTCCCTCATTTCAAATTCTCGTAAATTCCGTAAATTTCCTCTGTTTTTGACACGGTTTTCAACAAACGGAAGCGCCATGTTTACACTTTCATCCGGGTATCAACAAAGAAAGATAACTCGTGTTTGCACTGTTTTGAGCGGGAAATATAAAAGAGGTATTCCGATCCCGGTAAAACGGGACTCATCGTCAGCTGTCTGAAGCGTGAATCCCGGTAAACTGGGACTCATCGGCGAAAGGGTTAAACAGGGTCAGTTTCAAAAGCGCAATAACTGTTCGATATTATATGCAAAAAATCTAAACGACATCTTGAGAAACCACTATACACTGTAAGAAAAAAATGTGGAGGAAGAAGAAAAAAATAATAATATTAAAAACCAATTGTTCAGAGAACAATTGAAGGTCTTTCCACTCAAATTCACTTAAGATGAGAAAATTTTGATAAAAAACAGTATGTCTGGGCTTAAATGATAGCTTTTCACACACTGTTTTTGTTAATACAATGTTTGAGGCACTATTGTCATCAATTAAGGGAGATAGTAAGCCACTTTCGGTGTCAAATAATAGCATACTTTACTCTGATTCAAAAAATATATAGTTTCTTTATAGTTTTACTTTAAATAAGGGAGATTAATTGCTACTTTCAGTTTAATAAAGGTCACTTCTGGATGACATTTTCAAGGTCATATGTCTACTAACCTAATGCAAATGATCCCAAGGCTTTATCATGAATAAATATGAATCTACAGCAAAGGTCAAAATCTAGAATGTCAATTTTACCTTTGACCTTGAAATAAATTTCAAGGTCATAAAGCAAGGACCTCAAATCAAATTACCCTTAGTCTCCACTATGTAAGGGAAATGAGTTCTATCCCAATACAGCTTATTTTGAGTATTAGAGGGGAGGAAACTCCCATCAAATGTCAACACACCGTTTTAACCAAAATATGTATGTTACGACATGTCGAAAATATCAGTTTAATTAAAATATTTTGTCGATATCTTATAAATTTCCTGTTTAAAAAAGTATGAATTTTTCAAAATACTAAGGATTTTCTTATCCCAGGCATATATTACCTTAGCCGTATTTGGCACAACTTTTTGAAATTTTGGGTCCTCAATGCTCTTCAACTTTGTACTTGATTGGCTTAATAACTATTTTGACCTGAGCGTCACTGATGAGTCTTATGTAGACGAAACGCGCGTCTGGCATATTAAATTATAATCCTGGTACCTTTGATAACTATTTACACCACTGGGTCGATGCCACTGCTGGTGGACGTTTCGTCCCCGAGGGTATCACCAGCCCAGTAGTCAGCACTTTGGTGTTGACATGAATATCAATTTTGTGGTCATTTTATAAATTTCCTGTTTACAAAAGTATGAATTTTTCGAAATACTAAGGATTTTCTTATCCCAGGCATAGATTACCTTAGCCGTATTTGGCACAACTTTTTGAAATTTTGGGTCCTCAATGCTCTTCAACTTTGTACTTGTTTGGCTTAATAACTATTTTGACCTGAGTGTCACTGATGAGTTATATGTAGACGAAACACGCGTCTGGCGTATTAAATTATAATCCTGGTACCTTTGATAACTATTTACACGGTTTCTGAAAAGAAGCAATATTAAGCCAAAATCAAAATTAAGAATCTGACCTTGACCTTTGACCTTGACCCAATTTTCTTTTTGGCGGACCAAGGACCTCAATTCAAAAGATCCTAGGTCTCTATCACCTATGGTTTACCAGTTACAATTACATTTCACTTATTTTAAATACAGAAAGGGAAATAACTCTCATATGGAGTCTCCGGACCGCTTTAATCAAAATTATTCTAAAGATCCTGAGGATATAACTAGCAAATTGGTGAAATAATTTTGTCCTTATCTTTTATGGTTGTGAAGGAGATAACACTTATAATAAAAAGTGTTCAGTTAAACAGGGTCAGTTTCAAAAGTGCAATAACTGTTCGATATCATATGCAAAAAGACTAAGCGACATCTTGCGAAACCACTATACACCGCAAGACAAAAATGTGGCGGAAGAAGAAAAAAATGATAATCAGAACAAAATCAATAGGTCTTTCCACAGAAAAGTGGAAAGACCTAATTAATTGAATTTATGCAGAAACATTGCTTCCAGATGCTATATCAAATGCTTGAAAAGTGATTGCAACCTAATTTGGAGATATGGTCATTAATAATAACAGGAAGTTCCTTTTCCATTTTAGATGACTTTTGTCTAAGGACAAGGTCAAAGTCACAAAAAATGGACTGAAATTGGTCAGAAAAGTGGTTTCCATATGTGAAATCAAATACTACATAGGGGATTGCAACCTTACTTGAATATATGGTCACATATAACGAGCAGACTTTCCCTATTAATTTTCTTGTCACTATGTTCAAGGTCATATTTATAAAAAGATATGCTGCAGTTTGTGTTAAAAAGTGGTTTCTGGATGCTATTCCAAATAATACATGTGGAAGTGTAAACTTACTCGGATATGTGGTCACATATTATGATAAAACTATCCATAGTTCTTCCAGGTCACTAAGGTCAAAGTCAATATCATAGTTCTAAAAATACATTGCAATATGTGCCAAAATCTTGTTTCCACATGCTTCATCAAATAGGATTGCAACCTACTTTTGAGAGAAAGATTCCTTTCCATTTTGAAGTCAATATGTTTAAAAGGCAAGGTCAAAATCACTAAATATAGAAAAAAAGTTGTGCAGAAATTGTTTCAGGACGCAAGTAAAACTATGCCATCAGGTATTTTAAGCTCTCCCCACTTTAAATGCAGGTGGTGGGGGATGGTAGTATTTGGTTAGTCCTCACTACAGGGTCTTTAATTGTTATTATGAAAATATACAAAATGTTGTGTGATTGCCAGAGAGACAACTATCCATAGGACAGAGGACACAGATGTGAACAGTAACAAAACACTGTGTGCAAAACCCTTACAGTATAGTAAGCTATGAAATGTACTGTGAGCAACAATTCAAAAGAGAAAACCCAATTGCCTGATTTATATAACTACAACAGTGAACCAAAAAAACCCAAAGCAGACAGCAAGCAATGACAACTCCTTGATAAAAGGTTCCTTGCTTGTGATAGACACACAATGAATTTGGCTGGTTTAAGATATTTATCCATTTTAAAATTTATATATTGTTTGGTTTCCAACTTAATCAGATAATAGTTGATGGTTTAATATGTTCAAATCTAAATTTACCTACCATATGTTTTTTTTTGCCAATTTAATGCGACAAGTCTTGTCACCAAACAAACTGTTCTTTCATGTCTTATTATATAATTTTCAACAATCTAACTTCACTTTTTACTGCTTCACAGTACAAGAAACCTAAAGCCATAATTGATATGGAGAAACAAATTCAGACAGAAATTAAGAAAATGAAAGCTGCAAAAGATGGAGATGTTGATTGTACACCAAGCTGATAGTCAGAAGTAATTATGATGTTTGATAAAAAACAATTGGTAATATTCAGGATTACTGAGAAATATGGTGGAACAACTATGTTACTAAGATCAGAATCAAGAAGATCAGTTATAACAGGACAAGATGATATAAAAAACCTTTGTTGTTTTTATTTACATTGACTGTTTCAAAGTATAATCAAATCTGTCTTGTTTGATTCTCAATTTATTTTGCAAAGCATTTGTTGATCCAATAACGAATTATTGATTTTGATCTTGATCTCAACAGGAATGAATTATTTTAAAACAAATACCGGTACTGATTTTGTTATGATATATGTCACGCCATGGTTAAGAGGAAAATATCTTGACTGATTGGTTTGTCATCAAATAGTCTTTTCTTCAGTAACTACAAGCTAAATACATTCAAGCTTTACAATAATTGTTAATAGAGACTCTCAAGTAAAAGGTTCTGTTTGAGGCTTACTGGATGACAAAACTATTTGCATTTAATCCTTTAGAAAATCTCCTTTTTATATTCATATGCAAGGTTTAATGTAAAGAGAACTATTTTTTATTAAAAACTCAACATTTTATGCTTTTTCAAAGACCACTAAGACCACAAAAAGCTATTGATTTTCTTAGATTGTTTATTTTAAAATTTCGTCTTGCAAAAGCTGTATTGTCGACATGTTTTGAATCCATAGCGAATTCCAATGTGTGAAAAAGGATCATGGTTAGCTATTGTCCTGTATATGGTGAAAGTGATTATAGTTTTACTCTCATAATATACAACTTTGAAGGTTAAAATGGTTAAGAAAACCTGAATGTGAATAAATTATATATAAATAAAAAAGAGATGTAGAATAAATGTCAACTATAGATCAACCTGAAATAAAATAAAATCAGAATAAAAAAAAGAGCTGCACTGTGATTTTGAAATAAAAGTATCATTCCTTTGCTGTTTCTTTTTTTCTTGTGCATGCAGTGATTTTGTATCCTGAGACAGTGAGTTATTTCACCATATCAATCTTTTCCAATATACATATATAAAGAGCATCATATAGTCTTTAGAAAAAGACCAGCACTAAAAGAAATTTTGAACTTTGAAGCCTAAGTATTGACCAAAAGTAAATAATTTTAGGAGTGACTACCAAATTCTGCCATCGAAGTCAATTTCTTTAAAAACATAAACATCAAGAAAAAGAGATTAAAAATGCAATCTAAATGCCAGGAAAAGGTGATCATGGTAATTTAAAAAAAATGTTGCCTTGACATTCATAAAATTTAAAACGAAGATACCAAAGGGACATTTCAAAACTCATAAGGAGGAACTGACAATGCCAACAAACGAAAATCTACAAAATGTCAAATAACAATCTACAAATCACTACACAGCAAACGAGGGCTGAGCAATACAAACTCTATCAAAAACAAGTGTTCTGCCATGGTAAGCAGATCCTGATCCAAATTTGGCAGTTTTGTGAGCATTCAATCCTACCCTTTAACCTTAGACAGTGATGTATTTGTGGAAGTTCAATTTAAAGCTATATTATAGGGAATATTTCCAAAGTTTTTATCACATGTTTGAAAGTGGTTTCTGCTAACATTGATCAGTCATAGATAGTTTTTGTCTCTCGTCTGAGATAGGTATTATAATCTAGTGGCGTAACCTATTTGTAATAAAGCTTTATATTTCAGAAGCTAGAAAACCTGACTGCTTCATACCTTTATGCACATATTTATGTTATGAAGTTTCTGTCTGTCATACATCCATTGTCCTTGACCTCATGTTAATGGTTCAGTGATTGCTTGAAAAAAAATTACTTTTTTTTTTAATTAAATACTCTCTTGTTATGAGTCATAGGATAACTATATTTGGTACATGTGTTCCTTGCCAAGGTCTTGAGTGGACAGCCCAAATTGACACTTTGTGCACAAAAATCAGTACCAGGCTAAATCTTTTGTCTAGGATAAAGAAATCCCTCCCCCTGGAAACACGAAAGTTATACTTTAATGGTTATATTCTCCCTATTTTGGATTACTGTTGTACAATTTGGGGAAACACCAGTAACCAAAATACAAATAGGTTAGATAAACTTCAAAAACGAGCAGCTAGAATTATTCTTGAACTTCCTTATGATACCCCATCTAATACAATGTTTAAAAAGTTATCATGGCTTCGATTTACTGATCGTGTAATTTACCACAAGGCCTTATATGTTCATAAATGTTTATATGGATCTGTCCCAGAATATTTGTCTAACAAAATCTCCTATGTTACAAATAAAAATGGAATGCAACTTAGATCAAATACTTCCCAATTACTTAATATACCAAAGGCAAGAACAAACACATTTAGAAGATCTTTTTCATATTCTGGCCCAACTTTATAAACTACCAGAAGCACTAAGACACATGTCAAACTTAAATACTTTTAAAACAAACTGCTTTAAGTTTTTACTTGAAAATCCAGGAATTATTTAAATGATTATGTATCAATTTTGATTATGTTTTCTTATGTTTATCTTTATTATGAAGAAATTGTGTGATGCATTGTGAGTGGAGTGTGAAGGCCTCAAGTGAGAATAGTGTTTGTACTAATTGAGCATACCCTCTTGAAATAAAGATTATTATTATTATTATTATTATTACATGTCCATCAGGTAGGGTTCACCTGACCTCGACTTAATATCATGGATCAGTGATCAAGGTTTAAGTTACGTGGTCAAGTCCATATCTCAGAGACTATAAGTAGTAGGTCAACTATATTTGGTGAATGGAATGATTGTATGGTGTACATGTCCGACTTGCAGGTTTCATCTGACCTTGACCTTAATTTCATGTTCATTGGACAATGTTTAGTTTTTGTGGTTTGGTCTATTTCTCAGATTCTATAAGCAATAGGGCCACTATATTTGGTGTATGGATCTGATTGTAAGGTGTACATGATTGACTGGCAGTTTTCATCCTACCTTGACCTCATTTTCAGGGATCATTGGACAATGTTTAATTTTTGTGGTTTGGTCTAATTCTCAGATACTATCAGCAATCGTTTAAGTATAGTTGGTATAAAGAATGATTATAAGTTGTACATGTCTGTCTGGCAGGTTTCATATGACCTTGACCTCATTTCATGGTTCATTGGTTAATGATATATTTTTGTGGTTATATCATTTGATCAGTTACTATAATCAAAAGGTCAACTATATTTGATGCATGGAATGATTATAAGATGTACACATCTGTCTGACAGGGTTCATCTGACCTTGACCTAATTTTCATGGATCATTGGACAATGTTTAGTTTTTGTGGTTTGGTCTATTTCTCAGATACTATAAGCAATAGGTCAAATATATTAGTATTAAGAATAATTGTAATTTGTACATGTCTGTCTGGCTGGTTTCATATTACCTTGACCTCATTTCATGGTTCATTGGTCAATGATAGATTTTGTGCTTTGATCTGTTTATTTTTTAGCAGACACTATAAGCGAAAGGACCACTATATTTGGTGTATGGAATGATTGTTAGGTGTACATGTCTGTCTGGCATGGTTCATGAACTCATTTTCAGGGATCATTGATAGTGTGGTACCTGTAGTAAAACCTTCATATTACAGACTTTCAATATGAATTCAATCATGAGAATAACAGGGGAGATATTTCTGCGTGTTTAAGATATAGAAAATAATATTTTTACTGTGTAGAGTAAATGTTCAGCAGTGTGGAATGGTATAATATTTATCATGTAAGGAGGAATCTTGTAAACATGGCTAATTTGTAGTTTTAATGCATAACAGTTTTTGGAATAGTTAAGTGCAAGCACTTAATTCGAACAACAAATAAATGTAAATAACCTGCACCTAAAAAATTCTCTTGGTTGCAGTAGGCTTTATGTACGATATTAGCAATAAACAATGCCATTTTATTATTTAACATATTGTTGCAAATTTTCATATAGATAGCGTATCATAAATGTATTCATAAAAACCTCATTTTAAATGATTGTTTTATAAGTGGGATATTTAGGAATTGTAAATTTGAAGGTGGTAAACTAATATTCCTAGGAAACTGATAGGAATTGGTTCAAGTACAGACATTTATACATAGGAGTACCTTGGACACTTTGCAATACCTCCAATCATAGTGATTGAGATCAATTATAGGAATAGAATTTATGGACATTGCATTAACTACAAACATATTCAGTCAGATCAGTTTTCTCAATCACAACACAATTGATGGATTTTACATGAGCTCCATACTTTGTGTTAATAAAACCAGTTTGGTCAAACAGTAGAAATCATGAGCTCCAAACAGAGTGAGTTGGGCAAATTTAATAGAACAACAGTATTAATTGTTTTTGGATAAGCTCCAAGCAGGGTGAGAGAAATCAACATGAGTTCACTTTTTTATTGGGTGTCGAGATGTCAATTAGTACACCTGAATGATCTAAATGATGCCTATCGCTAAAAGACAGAACCAACTAGTTGAGAAAAAATTGTTGACCTTTAGGGAGAACCTGAGCTCACTTTTTTATTGGGTGTCGAGATGCCAATCTTTAAATTGTTGTGGCGTCGTCTACAATGCTTTACTTGTGATTAAGTCAGTTTAAGGAAAATTGCTAGTGGTAGGTCATTGTTAATTTGTACGCATATGTTAAAGCATTGGCACATCTCATTTCCATGAAGATAGTTTGGCCCCACCTCCTCAGTCATAGTCTATTGACTATTGCATACATGTAGTTTACCTGATAAAGTTTGTAATTAGGTCAGTTTAAGATGAAACACTAATAATAAGACAATGATATTTGGAAGGCAGTTGAACTAGTATTGGCACGTCTCGTTTCAACTGAGATTATATGTTCCCACAACTTCATCATGTGTCAGTTTATTATCATGAATAAAATATATTTAAATCATGACTAATTATAAATAAGAAGATGTGGTATGAGTGTCAATGAGACAACTCTCCATCAAAGTCACAATGTGTAAAAAGTAAACAATTATAGGTCAAAGTACGGTCTTCAACACGGAGCCTTGGCTCACACCGAACAGCAAGCTATAAAGGGCCCCAAGTGTAAAACAATTCAAACAGGAAAACCAACGGTCTATTCTATATGGAGAAACGAGAAACACTCATGAACCACACCAACAAACGACAACCACTGAACAACAGGCTAGCACATTTAAAGGATTTTTTCATGTTCTTTGACAGATGTATTGCTATTTTTTGTGTTTTTAGACGACTCTCTTGAGTGTAGTTTTCAAATTTTTGAAGATAGTTAAAAAATGTCGCAGATGAAATTACATATGATTGTCATTTACGTAAAACGTTAGACATGCGTTTTGTCAGTACGAAACTTGTCAGTAACGGTCAAATTTGTTCAAATACATATCCTTGACAGACAAACAGACGGAGTACAAACATATCATCTTTTCTGTTTCATTTGTGATATTTTTAAAATAAAAATACCGAACTCCAAGGTAAATTCAAGCAGGGTAAGCCAGTAAGAACTGACAACAAACATTCGACTAAACCAACAAACGGAACGACTGGAAAACAACTATAATATTCATTAAAGCAAGTAGAAATCTTGATAAGTTGCATTCATTAATGTAACAATCAAGAAAAAGAGAATTTGACAATTTCCATATCAAATTTTGCGACCTGATACTTTAACATTCTGAAAGTATTGAACGCAATATAATGACTATTGTCCAACTACAACTGTTTATATTGAATATTTTTACACATCTATAAAACACACATTAAGTTTTTACTGATGTATATAATTTCAATCTTATAAAATACCATTGTAAAATGTCCCAAGGATAAAATATGAAAGCAATACTTTAAAAAGTTTATGCGTCCGAAGCGATTATCTGGATTTACCTTCACCAGGACGCTCAAAGCCGAATATTTGAAAGCCAAAGTATAAGAACCGAAACAGTTTAAG